CCTTGTCCTGTCACTACAGGCCCTTGTAAAAAGTCCCCCTCAGCTTCCTTGTAGCCCCGTCAGGTACTGGAAGGTGCTGTAAGGTCTCCCCGGAGCCTTCCCTTCTCCAGGCTGAACAAGCCCAACTCTCTCAGCCTGTCCCCGTAGCAGAGGTGCTCCAGCCCTCTGAGCATCTTCGTGGCCTCCTCTGGACTCATTCCAACAGGTCAATATCCTTCTGATGTTGTGGGCTCCACAGATGGACACAGTATTCCAGGTGAGGTCTCACAAGAGAGGAGTAGAAGGGGAGAATCCTTTCCCTCGACCTGCTGGCCTGTATATTTCAGGTCATACCACAACAGCACATGGATGTGGATTTAAAAACAACCACTGTTTTGTTTTACAAGGTACTGTTGCAGTTCTTTAAAGTGGTGAGGATGGAGCCTTCTCTTCTCCAGGCTGAACTTGATCAAAAATAGCAGATCTCTATATAAAATATAACCAGTAATTGCTTTTCACACCTATGGTCAAATGTAACTTCATAGTTGGATCAGTACAAGTTTATAACATCCTGGGCTTTTTCTACCTAGATAACAGCCTTTGTCATTTTTCCTATTTCTACAATCCACTTAATTTAGCCTGTTTTACTCCAAACCTAGTATTCTGGACTGTACAGGGATTTGGTTGAAGGAGAAACAGTGACACCCTTGCATCACTTAGTTGCAAATTAGAGGGCAGAAAAATTTCTGGCAACAAAAAAAAGGAGGAAGAGGGCTGATTTAGGTCATGGCTACTGCATCCCTGCAGGCAGAAGCAGAAAGCCGCCGAGTGAGAATCCGCCAGCGTGTTCAGCAGTAGGTCACACCGGCGGTCAGCTGGCAGCTCCTTCCTGCAGCCAGGCGTGTACACGTGTCTGCCTCTCACTCTGGAAGGAGGAGGGGCTCTGTCCTCAGTTCAGAGGTACCGATTATCAACACAGGAGTTGCCCTTTTTTTAAACATAACAGGGGTTCCTTCTGAGGCCAGTATTTATCCCTTCTGGGTACAGGTGTTGGAGAGAAAGCCCCTCGCTCGTATTTGCACCTCTCAATTTGGGAGTTTTGGTTCAAAAGCTTCCAAGTCAGCTGTTCAGACTGAACGCACAGCTGGGCGGAAATAAACTCCGCCAGCACAAACGGTGATTCTGGAAGAGGTACAGTTGTTGAAGGTGACTCGTCATAGCTCTGGAAATAGTTCCACTGGAATTTAGACTGAAGTTAGCAGGCACAGTGCTGCTGTGTAGGCAGAATCCTGGAGCGAGGCCTATAGAGTTGGATCCAAAATAACACCAAGGAGATGCGTAGGCTACTTCTGTGCCAGAATAGCTCCGTAAAGGTGATACTTTTGTTACCTAAAAAGTGGGTGTTTGTGACATCCAGCAGCTTCTGCACACCTGACGGTCTGTTGTTCGTACCTGAAAACCACCTCTGTAGCTCAGGCACTTGAGGTGGATGCCTGTCCTACCAAAAGCCAGGTGGGAGCAGAAGGAGGGTCGCGCCTCCCATTTCACTCCCAACCAGCTGGTACTAGCGGCCTCCTGATGGTAGGAGCCAGGGGTGTGTCCTAACAGATGCTCCGGGTTAGGAGAGCTGCTGCCTTCAGTACCCTAACAGGAAATGGCATCAGCGACCCTGAGGTGCTTCTGGTTTTGAAGTCGCCACGGCTAGGGAGCAACACGAAAAGCAGAGCAGCCTTTTGCTCTTTCACTCAGAATCCAGACCCCACTGTAAGTCTAAAGCATAAGAAAACCCTCACCATCAGCTGCTGACTGCAAATGAGCAACATTAGATAGTGTAAATAGACCTTACCAGCCCTCCACAGACTATCGTATTCCATCTAGGAAAAAAAGAATGGAAAGAATAATCTCCTCTGTCACACTGTGCTTGGAAGGCAGAGCAGAAAGCACACCACAGTCTCTGTTTCAAAGCACGTGAGCTACAACAGCCAGCTGCAGATGTGGTCCTACAAGAGCAACCCAACAAAAAGAAGAGGGACACAGAGAACCTGAGGTTAATTGTGGTTTCGCTGTCCTACTTTTGATACTGAACTTGAGTCTTATCTCCTAGGAGCTTGTTTCTACAGCACCCGTATTTTCAGAAAATCAATTTATAGTCTGAACTATGGACACTGAAGCTCAGAGTCCACTTGAAAGATTTCACAGATTTCCTCATTAAATAAACGCTCTCGTTTTATACACCGCAGCAGCACTTCTTTTCTACAGTTTCATGTGCGACCAACTAGGCCGGCCAGCGATGAAGACAGATCTCTCTGACTTTACTAAGCAGAGCTTAGGTTTTAGTCGAATCCGCTCCAAGCCTAAAGAGGCCCAAGTTGACCCCTGCCTTAAACTCACAGAGAATTAGTTTGGCGTGCATCAAACTTTCAACA